CCTCACCGTAAACCCTCCGACCACCCACAACTCTCCCCGGCTGAGAACTGAGTTGAGTTCCCTGCTCCCTCCCGGGCCTCAGGGCCCTCTCTCTCTCTCTCTCTCTCACGGTTTCACTCACAGGGTTTCTCCCGTCTTTGCGACATGACAAAGGAACTGGTCCAACAGCGACGACACTTCCTTCTTGGATTTCTTCTCGAAATCTGCCGGTGGGAAAGACACACACAGAGGGAACAGGTTATTCAAAACGGAGGGGATCGGGATTCCCAGCCCCCGGTGAGACACAAACCACCAACTAATGTTCGTTCGTCCGCCGCCACTGACCTGCCAGAGCTTCCAGGAGGCTCTCGGTCTCCATCTTGGAGGTGCAACTAAAACCGATTCCCCTTTCCCCCCCCCCACCCCCGTGCCAGTCACCGGGAACCAGAGTACCGCCGAATAAAGTTTCCCCCCTGTTCCCTGTTTCAGTAGACAGCGGCCCCGGCACTGGGTGAAACACACAACATGGCGCCGCCCGCAGACGTCACCCCCATCGCACGGCGCGATGGCGTCATCCACGCGCCTCGACGTGATGACGGCATCGGAGCCACGCGTGGGCTCAGGCACTGCGCATGAGCGCGTCTCCGACCCGAGCTGCCGAAGGTGAGGTTGACTGTCACGTGTGCGTCCCTTTCGCCCCACCCCCTGCGTTGGAAATCATCACTATGCGTCTTGATAATCAACTGCTTTCGCACTTTTTAAGCTCCGTTTCCGGACAAAGGTGCACCTAGGGAGGAGCTGACCTAGGAATACAGAATTCCTACGCGTTTATGTCTGCAATTGACGTCGAAATTGTGCAAAAAAAATGTGTTGGAGAAACTCTGTGTCTTCTAGATGCTGGCTAACCTGCTGAGTTTCTCTAGGTCTGGCAGCACGTGAAGGAACAGACTTTCTCCAGCAATATTTGTTTTTGTTTCAGATTTCCCGAATTCGCAGTTCTTTGTTTTTTTTTGTCGGAATTATGCAGATGCACCTGTTCAGAGATGCATCAATGCAGTGCAGATATTGCGGATCAATTTTATGTTTTTGGAATATTTTCATATTTCAGCCAGGGCTGAAATACTTTGGGAAGTTGCTTGTACCAAGCCACAATTTTGGCACAGCAGAATGTATGTTCTAGAAACCTTTTGCCAACATTTCATTCATGGATAGAACTGGTTGATCCAATTAAGGTTTTGACATGAAAGAGTTGCACACATCCAACTCAATGCATGAAACTTTGCAGTTGCTATTCTTGTTAGTATTTGGTTTTAAAATAATTCTTGATCAATTGGGAAAGCAGTGGCGTAATGGTATTATCACCAGACTATTAATCCAGACATCCAGGTAATGTTCTAGGGACGGATGGCAGATGGTGGGATTTCAATTTAATAAAAATCTGGGATTAAGAATCTAATGATGACAGTGAAACCATTGCTGATTGTCAGGAAAAATCCATCTAATCACTAATGTCTTCCAGAGAAGGAATTTTGCCATCCTTATCCAGTCTGGCCTACATGTGATGCCAGATCCACAACAATGTAGTTGACCCTCATCTGCCCTCTGGGCAATTAGAATGGGCAATAAATATGGGCCTTGCCAGTGATGATGTCCATACCCTGTGAATAAATTTTTAAAAAGCTGCCTCAGACCCCAATGTCTATTGTCTGTGTTCGTAATAATTGTGGTTCTGCTGCAGCCATGATTTTGCAGTTACACTTCTCCAATGTAGAACAGATAGGGGAATGACTCTGGACTGTGACTTTGGAATGTACTAAGTTTATGATACCCCAGCAAAAAATAGGCTTATGCAAAACTGTCAAAAATAGATTTCTTTTATCAAATTTTACATCAAAGCCATGTTAATTTTTACCAATATGGATACTATACTGATGCCTTATCATACTTCAAACTCATACATACACATAATTATGTTTATAATTATCCTTACAAAAATGAGCATGTATATTTGTGCAGTTTCAGCAACAGTTACTTATATAGAGCCTGTAATTTAATAAAAATTTCCCAGCACACATCACAGGAGCATTGTGAAATAAAATATAGCATCAAAAAAAATGAAGCAAGTTCAAAAATCATTGTGAAAGTGATCTTTTAGAGGGTATTTTAAAATAAGAAATTTTGAAAGGCAGAGAGGCTTAGGAAGGGAACTCGAGAGTTTTCCAGAGCTGAGCCAGCTGAAACCATGGCCACCGTTGGTGAAGCAATAAAAACCAAGGGAGCAGAGTGTGATGAGTGCAGAAATCTGAGGATTTAACACTAAAGTAGATTACAGAGATCAGAACAGATGAGATCCTGGAGGGATTTGAATACAAGGATGAGAATTTTAAACTTGAAGCATAGATCAACTGAGACCCAGTGATGACCAGCAGGCAAAAAGATGATAGAGGAATAGGATTGGGAGTACTTTTGGACACATGAAGCAGAGTTTTGGATGACCTCAAGTTGACAGAGAGTATTTACTGGGAGGTTGGCAAGGAGCAAATTAGAAGAATCATGTCTGCAGCTAAAAAAGGCAAGAATGCGGGTTTCAGCAGCAGGTAGTCTGAGATAGGCGAATTAAGTGTCACCAAAATAGAGCAACTGACCTTCTGTCTGAGGTCAATGTCATTAACAGGCAAAATTGAGATAGACGAGGGGAATAATGGTAAATGTCGGGGTAATCCGCAGGTGACATTGTGGGGTAATAAACAGCTCAGAGAGTGTAGTTTAGAACTATGCAGTCAAATGAAAGAGGCTCAATCCACTGGCAAACATTGCAACAACAACTTGCCTTTATGTAATACCTTTAAAGTCATAAAACACTACACTGTATAGCTTTGGTCTTCTTATTTAAGGAAGGATATGATTACATTGGAAGAATTCAGAGAAGGTTCACTCACCTGATTCCTGGGATAAAAGAGTTGTCTATTAGGGAAAGATTCAAAAATTTCAGTCTGTATCATTGGAATTCAGACAATGATTGGTAATCTTTTTGAAACAACTCAGATCCTGAGAGGATTTGACAAAGTGAAAACTGAAAGAATGCATTTCCTTGGGGGAGCAACAAGAACTGGAGATGCAGTTTAAAAATGCAGGGGCTCCCATTTATGTCAGGGATTTGGAGAATCTCTTTCTCCCAGAGGATGGTTTGTTTGTGCAATTCTCTTCCCAAGACCTACCAAGAAATACTTTTGTTGCTGAGTTGGACAGATTCTTGACTGACAAGGGAGTCAATGAATTTTAGGCTAGTAGAAGAAAAGTAGAATCTACAAGCAAATCAGCCAAGATTTTATCAAATTGCAGAGCTGGCTTGATGGGCTCCTAATCCAGAGGCTTGCATTTTTAAAAGCATTATAATTAAAATTGTATCTGGACCATTTAAGGAGATATTAGGACAGGTCACCTGAGGCTTGAACATGGAGGGAACTTTTAAGGTTTTAAAGTTGGAAAAAGAGATAGACAAAGAGAATTAGCTGGGGAATTTTAGAGTTTAGTGGTAAGCAGCGGAACACACAGTCCAACCAAAGTGAAACAATTAAAATCAGGCATGTGAAGGAGGCCAGATTTGGAGAAGCATAGATTTCTTGGAGGATCGTAGTGCAGGAGATGGTTATAGCAAAGGACTTTAGTGAGAATTTTAAAATTGAAATGTCGCTAAATTAGGAGTTCACTTACAGAGGCGGTGGATGAACCAGAACTGGGGCATGTTTAGATTAAGGCAGCAGATTCATAGAATCATACAGTCCAGAAGAGTCCCTTCAGACCATCAAGTCTGTACTGCCTCATTCGTGAATGTGCAAATGTTTATTTAGGTTGCAAATTGAAAAAATGGAGACAAAAGGTTGAAATAGTTATTCTTGTATGTATATCTTCATAGTCCTATGGATGTAACTATAAGATCAGGACACAAAACAGAAATTGCTGGAAAAGCTCAGCAGGCCTGGCAGCGTCTGTGAAGGAAAAAACAGAGTTAACGTTTCGGGTCCAATGACCCTTCCTCAGAAGGGTCCTCAGTTCCTCAGTTCTGAGGAAGGGTCACTGGACCCGAAACGTTAACTCTGTTTTTTCCTTCACAGATGCTGCCAGGCCTGCTGAGCTTTTCCAGCTATTTCTGTTTTGTTTCCTGATTTACAGCATCCGCAGTTCTTTCGTTTTCTTTAATTATAAAGTCAGTTGTTTATGGTGATAGCTTTTGTGTTGAATTGTGTCAGTTACTTTTATTTTAAGCATCGCTGACTTATGCCTCTTGCCTTGTGTCACTTTAAATAATGTATTGTCTTGAAAATGAATGCTTTCATTGTGACTTGTGATTTTGTGTTGAGCAGAGTGATGACTGGAGATATTAATGAATTCTTCTAATTCTGTTTCTGTGTGAATCCAAATCCCCTACATATCATCACACATACAGAGGATATTGTTACTAAGTTATTGCATCGCATAATAAAGGAGTTAGTGAGACTAAAAAAAGAACACCTATAAACCAAAGAAGTAGCCCTTGAGAAATCTCAAGAAGACCACCTGAAAATAATTCTTTTTAATTTGAGCCCTGTTGCTCAATTGAAGCTGTGAGTACTTTGCCTACTCCTAACCTTCCCAGCCGACAAAATGCAATGTTTTATAATTTTCACTTGCCCTACCTTTACTTATGGAGCCCTTTCCTTCCTGACTGAAACTCAACTTTGGACTGCTCCAGTAAAATATTGGCACCTGATGCAATCTGTAACTGCCTTGGCATGACTAGTGTTCCAACTACAAGGAGTTCCTAGCTACACTCCTTGCTGTGTGTCTCTCAGTGGGTCTGAAATGTATTTTACAATCGACTGTAAATTCCTCCTTTTATAGAATCGTACAACGTAGTTCTCTTCTGCAGAGTTCTTGAATGTTCAGCTCTTCCTGCTGCTGGCTGACCGCCAGAGCAGCCTTCTTGTTGCTAGGTTTGAAGAATCATTAGATTTCCATAGCTACCAGTATTTTGTATGCTGCAGCTAATTGAAGTCCACGCTACTTGCCTCCATGTGTAGAATAATTCCTCAGCCTTGCTCATCATGGTTTCAGATCCACCTGATAAATTCGCTGTCACTATCCTCATCCTGATAGAGATCTACAGGACCTGCTTGGTCTAATGTGGGAAAGGATAACTGCCTGCTAGTCTAAGAAAAAGAGGCCCTTATTGTAACCAAGATGTAGTTTATTGCATGACAGTTGCTATGTGCAAGTTGCACTGATATGTAACTGATATGATAGACAATGTTACAGAGACTTTGAGGGTAATCTTGATGTTAGGTAATACCACTTCGAGATCCAAAGCAGGTCCTCTTCCCAAGTCAATGTGAAGTTATGATATTAAGTGATGCTTTTTGCACTTCTCAGTATTGGCTCTTTCAGCCCTTTACATACAACAAGCTGGAGAGGGTTCAGAAGAAATTTACCAGGATGTTGCCAGGAATTAAGGATTTAAGTTATATGAAGAGGGTGGATAGGCTGTCACTTTTTTCATTGGAGCATTGGAGGCTGAGGGATGACCTTACAGAGGTTTATAAAATCATGAGGGACATATATAAGGTAGATGGCAGGTT